AACCTCAATTTTTCTTCAGAGTAGTCACTTCCTTCTGATCCATGTGGAAGCAGACAGCTAGGTCCTTTAGGTAAAATCAGCCCACAAGGGACTGGGAGAAGAAAGCTGCCTATCTGACAAATTGTTTGAGAGGCAGGGTGCCCTTACATCTGTAGCTTCACTTTGAAATATAGCTTAAGTCATGGTAAAGTATGCTCTGACAACCTACTAGTCTTGCAACGTGTGGCTTTTTACATCTGGATATCCACTTCATGTGTGCAGAGATGGTCATATTATTTGATTTCCCAGTATTAAACAAGAACCATCTGAAAGACTCAAGTTATGGGTATAAAAAGGAAAAGCTTTTCTTTATCTGGCATGTGAAGTCATTTTGTTCTAAAAGCCCATCACTGGCATTTCCTTTTTAATGTTAATGAAAATCAAGAGCTCTGAAGGTGGATTCCAAAAATACAATGGATCTTCTCTCAAAACCTGAATCTTGTCTGCTCACAGTAACAAGGAATGCTGCCCTCAAACAAAGAAACATAAGTTCTGTGTAGCCAGACTTAAAATGAAAGGGTGCCAAATGTGCTGTTTGGCATATTGTCGTGGGTTTGGGCCCAACACAACAAAGGAACAGCCCCATGGCTGCCCATTCAACATCCCCCCACATACACACACTCTGGGACAAAGGTCCTGGACTGAGACAAAAGACAAGGAGGGTTCTTCACTGATTAAGGTCCTGGGCAAAACAGACTCAACTTGGGGAAAAAATAATAATTTAATTTCACACTGATCAAACACAAACAGGACACAGTCAAAACACAGAGCAGGGCTTGCATATGTTACCCCACCCCTCCCTTCTTCCCGGGCCCAAATCCCTTTGTTCCCGGTTTCTCTCCCTCCTTCCCCCCAGCAGCACAGGGGGACAGGGGATGGGGTTTGGAGTGAGTTCACAGGCTGGGGGGTCCTGCTGCTCCTTCCTCCTCAGGAAGAAGGATTCCTTACAGTCCTGCCCTGCTTCCCCACGGGGTCCCTCCCGTGGGAGAGAGTCCTCCAAGAACCTCTCATTCATGAGTTCTTCCCACTGCTGCTCCAGTCTGGGCTTCCTACAGAGTGGGAAATGGCAGAGTGGCTGCTTTGGGAACAGCCACCTCCTCTGGCACCAGGGTCTTCCACGGCTGCATAATCCAAGTCCACTGGCAGCAGATTCCAAGTCCACTGGCAGCAGATTCCAAGTCCACTGGCCAAGTTCACCCCTCCTGG